GATTATTGCTGTTAACTGCCTAGAGAGCCTTGGCTATGGGCAGTATAAAATGTAATAATAATAATAATAATAACCAGAGCAAGCCAGGTGACTTGCTTCAGTCCAGTCAGGAGCTACTAGTCATATTTTCTGCTAGTCTGGGGGCAGTTTAAGTTACTGTACCTTGTGCTGTTCAGATGGAGAGACTTGGAGAGTCTTCAGCTGCTACCCTGGCTTGAATCTTTTGGCTTGAGCTTTTTCCAAAATCAGATGCCCCATCAGTCCTGTCCATCTGTCCCTTTTACAAACAGTGCTCTCCTTAGGAGACATACACCCTTAAACACACATACACACATGCACACGGGGGGGGGGGGGGGGGGTTTAGAGCACATGTAATTTAACATATGCAAATTTGCTTTTGTGTTTTTTGGGGATTTTTTCTCCCATGGGTCAGAAGCCCAAGTGTTAGCACTGTTCTGGGTCTGATCCTAACTGGATTTCAGATGGACTTTTTTCCCTGAGATTTCTTTTTGCTCATTCCTAAATGTTCTTGCATCAGTCTTATTTCAAAAATATGCCAAATGAGTACAAAAGTGCATGTTTTAGGATTTAAATGATTAGGAATGCATTCCTTAGATAAAATATATTGTGGCTACTATCCTATCTGAGAAGGACGGTTTAACCCGGAGCCCTTCTCTGAGCAGGGGGCTGAGCCCAATGGCCTTCTTGGCCCCTTCCAACTCCTCTATTCTGTGATTCTGTATTTGCTCACCCAAGAGTATTCTTGCATTCAGTGGAACTTCAGAGTAAATACTGATAGGATGGCATTATAAGAGAAGCATATTCCACACACACCCCGATCCACCATTTTTTGCAGAATATTTTCGAAATTGCATTTTAATGATGATGTGGTATGGAGTGGATTTATGAATTAACCCATGTAAAACTGACTCCTGAGAGTCCCTTGGACTGCAAAGAAATCAGATCAGTCAATCTTAAAGGAAATCAACCCTGACTGTTCTTTAGAATGTCAGATCCTGAAGATGAAATTCAAATACTTTGGCCACCTAATGAGAAAGAAGGACGCACTGGAGAAGAGCCTAATGCTGTGAACGATTGACGGCAAAAGAAGGAGGGGACGGCAGAGGATGAGGTGGCTGGATGGGATCACTGGGACAGTGGGAGTGGGCTTGGGCGGACTCCAAGGGATGGTGGAGGACAGGAAGGCCTGGAGGAATGTTGTCTGTGGGATTATGATGGGTCGGGCACAACTTTGCGACTGAACAAAACAGAAAACTGATTATTTGATTGGGTGGATTTAAAATCTAATAAATATAAGAGGTATAAAAAGTAGTTATACTAATTAACTTGAAGGATTTGTGTGCCACTCCTCAGCCAAAACCATTCTCAGAGTGACTTACATATCATCAATTAAGCCAGACACTCCCCGCTTTCAGGTTCATGATCTAAAAAGTCACAGCACACAAGGAAAAAGGGGTGGGGAAAGAAAAGGGGGAAATGACCAGTCTGAAGGAGAAGTTTTCTTGGAAATGGTCTTCTCCAACAAAAACCATCCAGAAGCTGGCTGGAGCATGTCTCTGTGAACCGTAGGCTTTTTCGGTCTAAACAGCATACAGGCTGTTTTCTCTTCTGGAAACCTTGTGTTGAAATGGCAGCAGGAAAGGAAAGGAAAGGAAAGGAAAGGAAAGGAAAGGAAAGGAAAGGAAAGGAAATTTCTGTCTGTGCAGTTGCTGGGCTACAGTTTGGGGGGTTATAAGTTGCGTAGACTTGACTTCGAACAGAAGTGGACTGAAAAATTGTTATCGTTACGTGCCATCAAATTGTCGCTGAATGAATGCTCTCCAAACGTCCTGTCCTCGATAGCCCTTCTCAGCTCTTCTAAGTTCAAGGCAGAGGCTTCCTTTTTGGAGTTCATCCATCGCATACTTGGTATTCCTCCTTTTCTTCTGCCTTGCGTGATTATCTTTTCCAAGGAGTCTTGCCTTCTCCGATCATTATTTGTTTTTCGGCGCCAGGTGAAGACCTTTTTATTTAAACATCATTTTAATTGTTAACAATATTTGCTTATTTATCTGGCCAGGGTGACTTCTTTTATAACTTCTTTTATATCTTTTATACTTTTTATTTATTTTATATTGTTAATTTTAATTTTATATTGTTACTTTTGTATTTTATTGTATTTTATTGTGTTGTAAGCCGCCCCGAGGCTTCGGCAAGGGACGGCATAGAAATGTTCAAATAAATAAATAAATAAGAGAGTGTCCAAAGTATGACGGTCTCATTTTCCCCATTTTTGCTTCTATAGAAGCTTCTGGCTTGATTGGAGCTGGGATCCACTGATTCTTCTGGACAGAAAGAAGATCTCCAGATGGTTGGTCCTCAGTTCCCAGCATTCCTGGCCATTGGCTGTGCTGGCAGAGGCATTTTGGAATTAAACTCTGAAGCACCTGGGACCTACCTCTGCCTGTGCTTAGCTGCAGCTGTAGAGGCCGCGAGCAATTTGGCACACAAGGTGCGCCGTGATGCATGATGCAGCTTTTTCTTTGATGTGGCGGCTAGTCTGATGGGCGGTGCTGATTTGCAAATTGGAGCCAGAAGCAGCACTTAATCCCCAGACAGAAAGGTTTGCTCAAGAAGATCTTCCTAAATCCTGAGGCGTGGGAGTGGAGTGGGGGTTGCAAAGAGAGCTAGGCAAAGATGCTGGACAGTTAATGTGCTGGTAGCTAAGACACCGGTCGTGCCACCAGCAAAAATTGTCCACCCAACAGTTTGGATGTGTTTTTAAAATTGCATATCAATATGCTTTTATAATGGATGTTTAAACTTGGTAAACTTACCAGGGGGATGCACCTGTTTGAGGTATAGAGATATAATGAATACCATGAATTGAAATCCATACTTCTGAGACACCAATCAATTATGTCTAGCAACCAACTCATCTCCAACTAAGGGAATGAGCAAACAACGCCATTTCCATGGCTAGCAGGGTCAGGACTGGGTGCCACCATACACAGGTTAGCCAGAAGGCCCGGCCAGGAGCTGCTTTCCTTCCCATGCTCCCAGACCAAGATGTAGAAGTGAAGGAAGTAACTCAGTGATTGAGAAACAGTGAGGCAAACAACCACGCCATGGAGCCTGTCTGAAGGAATGTGGAAGGGAGGAAAAGAGAATTGGGTTGAAGAAAGGAGGCAACCTTCCATCTCATACTCCCAGTAGTTTTGTGAGACAGGGGGTAGTAGGGCAAGGTGAAGCCAGAAAGGAGTGAACTAGTGAACTTGTAATTATGAACACGTGGGCATAATAGGTTGATGAATATAGAAACATAGAAACAGAGCGAGTCAGAAGGGGCCTCCCGGGCCATCTAGTCTGACCCCCGGCTCCAGCCGGCTCCGCTCACGACATGCCCACCATGTGGACGTCCTGCCTATCCTTGAACACCCGCATCGATGGGGCCCCAACCACCTCCCAGGAAAGCCCATTCCACACTTGGGGTCCTGACTGTCCGGAAGTGCTTCCTGGCATCCAAATGGAACCTTGGCTCCCTGAGCTTTGCTCCGTTGGAGCGCGTCCTGCCTTCCTCTGCAGGGGAGAACAGGTCTCTCCCCACCTCCGTGTGACACCCCCTCACATACCTGTATGTCGCCAACATATCAATAGTATCTCACACACCTCGAATAGACAATGGACTAATTGTAATGCACGTGTGATGTATGTAGATGCATGCAGTGGGATGAGATGGGAGATATGAAGTAGGCGGATGGAAAGACTGTACCCCCTTAGTACATACCTTGTCCAGTGAGGGAATTGGGGAGCGCTATGGCGGCCGAGTTAGGGTGCAAAAGGAGATGATTTGTGTGTTTGTGCTTCGGAGAGATTCTGGCAGAGCGGGCTCTCCCCGTCTATTGCAATAAACAAAGGAATTGCCTCACTCTGTTGGTTGCCTTGGTTATTTAACTTGAGGAGAAGTATTTTCGCTGCTTTTTGCATAACAGAAACATAGGAACAGAGCGAGTCAGAAGGGGTCTCCCAGGCCATCTAGTCTGACCCCCGGCTCCAGCCGGCTCCACTCACAGGACAACAGGGAGGAAGAGGAACCTCCAGCCGGCTCTACTGGAACAGGGTTGGCTGCTGCTCAGCCCAGATCAGGGCTTGCAAGCAAGGTGGCTGCAGCAATCTCAGTGCCTCCGACAGCCCCTAAGCGCCCCTTTGGGGCAGCTGCCAGTGCTGCTCCCCCAAGCCACTTGGCATGAGTGGTAAGGGGGATTTCTGCTCTTGCCAAGCAGTTCACTTGTCGCTGGTCTTGACCCTGGTGGGTTGTGCAGTGCAGAGGCAGAGCACTGGGAGTCATACAACCACAACTGTATAACCTTCTAACCCCAAAATAAGCCCCCCAGACAACCCCCTCCCAGGTTCAACTACAGAGTTGCCTTGTTGTAGAAACCCAGACAGTGTGTTGTCTGAACCCAGCTAATGCCTTTTCCTTATATTTATGCATGTATCAAATTTATATCCCACCTCTTCGCTCATGAGGAAGTCAAGGCAGTTGACACAATCCTCTTCTCCTCTTCATTTTATTCTCACAGCAACTCCACAACCTCGAGTTAGGCCAAGAATCCGTGTTTGGCCCAAAGTCACCCAGGGAGATGAGAACCCGGATCTCCCAACCCCCAGTCCAGGATTCTGACCAATACGCCAGACGGTACCTGTAGCACATTTCTCCTCCTCTCCCCCATGGCTAACAGCCGCTTTGGGGATGAGGCAAGAGAAGCTGGGAAATGGCTTGCGGGGAAGCATTTTCCCCTAATCCCAGGGCCTTGATCCAAATCACACAAAGCAACGTGCTGCTGAATTTCATGGGGACAATATGGAATACTGATTGCTTCTGATCTGTGTCACATGTCTTTTAAACCTCAATGGCCGTTGCAGACCAGGGTTCCTGAATGATCGCGGACCAGACCAGAGGCCCTGAGTGGCAATCAGAAAGGAAGGCTCTGACTCACCTCAGGAGAATTTCTTGCATCCAACCTCAGCCACCTTTTGGCAAGCGAAAGGACGGTTCCACCTCACTAGCTCATCTCACTCAGGAATCCAAAGCACACAGATACTGTAACATGAGCTGGAGTTCATTGCTCGTGAACTAAGCCCAAGTGCAAACTGAATCAAGAATGGCAAGGCTCGCAGGGTCATGGTGGATTCTAATTATATACCTGACTAGCTTCAGGAGGCGTAATCACTGGGAAAGCAGCAAATGACCAAGTGTGCAATCGATAAATCACACTTGACTTATCATTAACTGGCGTATCGTCACATTCCGCGTGCCAGCGTGCAGACCGGGCTGCGAGACTTGTGCACGCCTGCGAGTGATTTCCAGGAAAAGAGGGATAAGGCTGCCTCGCACGCGGCACATACTATGCCGAGAGAGTGTGACGGTGGTCACAGGGGATATATTTAGTTCTGGAGTGGCTCTCTTGATTTGGCAGCTTGGAGAAAGGTTCCATGTGGACAGGGCTTCCTTTCTGCTTTAAAAATGCAATAAAATCAGGACTTGGATTGGGTAGGGAGAGGAGAAACGAGAGGCCTCTTGGATTCCGCATTTGGTCTCCCGAGCGTGCCACAAAGGCCGGTGCTGCAAACTCCGCGGTGTCCCAAGCAGCGTCCCTCTTACATGCTGCATTTCAGGATTCTTTTGGGGAAGGCTGGCGGCTATTTCTTAAAGAGGTGAAAGCAGAAGCCGGTGGCTGGGGGTGCCAAGTCAAGGGGCTACAGTAGCTCCCCTAGGGGGAAAGCTTGCAATGGCTGGGAAAGTTCTGCTTCGCTAGAAAAGGGGGGCAAGGAGAGGCACGCCAGAGGAGCGCAGAAGGAAGCATCGTGGGGACAAAGCAGAGAGGTGTGTGTTTTGCTCTGTGGGTTGTCCAAAGCGCCCACATGCAGCAGCCACCGGGGAACACGGGCGGGAGAGTGCTGTGGCACTTGTGTTCTGCTTGGGGTGTCCTATCCAAACAGGTGGTTGGACACACTGTGGGAAGAGAATGCTGGGCCAGATAGTCCCCTTGTTCCAGTCCAGCAGGGCTCCTCATGTGCCTTCATGACATTTCAGTCACTGGCACTCTGAGCTGCAAGAACACATTCCTGGCCGCTGGGCATCCGAATTTGGGGCCGCGTGCAAGAGACACCCTATCACCGCCGGCACTGCTCCAGCCCACAGTCCTTCCCCGCGGAACGACATCTCCAGCTCGAAGTAAGTGCTCATTTATGGAAGGGCTCCCTTTGCAGCAGTCACACCAGAGCCAAATCCGTAAATGACCACGGTTGGCAAACAAGAGTCTTTCCTGCTTCAAGGACTGCAACCAATGGGCTAGAGAAACAGGACTACATGTAGATTTGAATATATTTACGGATTGCTATAAAAAAACAGGTCTGATATTTCTGACGATTGATGTGTTTTAGTTTCTTTTTTTTTAGTTTGTAGAAAATAATAATAAAATGTACCCAACAGAGGCACTGCAACCAATGAGGACAGTGTGATTCTTTGTGGCCACTCCACCCCCAGGAGGTCCCATTCCTCAGTCTCCAAAACTGCTGCCGTCAATGAAACGGGGTTACCTCCATCCAGTCAATGACTTACATTCACAGGTGGAAATCCACAGGGGTTGCTCAGGAGTGCCTTCCAAATTCTGCACTGTGGCGGGAATTACCCAAGAGCTCTCCTTGGAGATCTCAGGAGTAAATTTAGTTACAGAGAGCAACAGTTGGTGCCAACGGATTTCTACAGCAGCGGGGGGGCGGGGGGGTGTAAAAGATACTTCGGAGTGGTGACAGACCTGTCTTCCTAGCAGCCATGCCCAAGTCAGGCTCACGGAATCCTTGCAGGAGCAGTAGGAAGCGGCTTTTAGCTGGCTGCAGTTAATGGGGCTTAATTTGGGATGGAATCCAAGTGTGATTGGCAGAAGCAGAGACGGGTGTACACAGGGAAATGTAGGTCAGCCGCAAATGTAGGTATTAGAGCATGATCAAAGCAAAATATATTCTGGGCTCAATCCTATGAGGATGCCCGTGACACTCTGACTCGCGGGCATCCTATCCTGGCAGGAAGAGGGGGACGTCAGAGCCACCTTGCAAACAGTGGTGCTTTGCACCAGGAGAGAAGGGGATGGAGGGGATGATGGGATACCCTGAATCTTGGTGTTGCTGGTTTCCTCCACTCCCACCACAAGGCTCCCTAAACCACTGCTCCAAGATCACTTTTGTGACCCTGCGGAAGGAGCCAGCATGGTTGTTTCCACACCCACTGGTGGTGTGGAAGGCACTCCGAGCCCAGAGTCCCAGTCCCAACATCAGAGTGATTTTCAGATGCCAGAGCTGGGGCTCTAAAAGAAATCCTGTGGCACCTAAGTGCCATAGGATCGCTCTGTAACCGTGAGTAAAAAGGCAGAAAGCCCTGCCCCAAGGAACTTACAGTAAAATTGCCAACACCAGGGACAACACAGGGATAAGGAACACCTTCTTCCGTATTTGCCCTCCCGCCCCTTGAGATCAGCAGCAGAGGCCCTCCTCCGGGAGCCCTCTGTGAAAGCTATTAGGAGGCAAAGTACCCGGAGGAGGGCCTTCTCTACGGTGGCGCCCCATCTGTGGAATGCACTCCCCAGAGAGGTCCGCCTGGCGCCATCGTTATTCGTTTTTCGGCACCAGGCCAAGACCTTTTTATTCCAGCAATATTTTAATAAGTTTTAATATTGTCTTTTCTATGTTTTTAACTGCAGTCAGTGTGGGTCGGGAATTTATTTATATTTTATGCTGTAAGCCGTCCTGAGGCTTTTTGCAACAGGACGGCACATAAATATTTTAAATAAATAAATAAGGAGAGAATCCATCCGGGTGTAGCAGAGGTACAGGTATGATGCCACAAGTACCTGTTCACAGGTACAAAGCCCCATGACTTCTTGCTTAGCAGGTAGAATGACTTCAGCTCCACACACGCATTTCCAAGCCCCTTTTTCCCTCTGTGTTGCCATCCTCCCATCCGAGGATATTAAAATGTGACATTAATTTTCCCAGCAACAATATAACGCGCTTTACGTGGGGCTTCCCCTGAAGACAGTCCGAACACTTCAATTGGTGCAAAATAGAGCTGCCAGGTTGCTGACGGGGACGGGGCGTTATGCTCACATGACTCCAGTCCTCCGTCAGCTTCACTGGCTTCCCATTGAAGCCCGGGCCCAATTCAAGGTGTTGGTTATGACCTATAAAGCCCTAAACGGCTTGGGTCCTGGCTACCTGAACGAGCACTTACGTCCGCAATTATTGGCAATTATTCATGCACAGGGAAATCATTCTGGGATTGGTGATCAATACTGAACTTGATCCCCTTGGTTGAAGTTCCTTTTTATAACCCTTAAGTATGATGAGACTGAAGTAGCAAGGATGAAGGAAATGGGATGAGTCAGACCCGAAAGCAGCGATTAAAGAAACTAATAATGGAAACTAAACTGCCTTGGACAAAGTGTTTACCTATAGCCCTGCTCCGGATACAAACTGCTCCAGGGAAAAATACAGGGAGATCACCCTATGAAATGCTGTTTGAATTGCCTTACTTGGGGCGGGTGAGGGAGTTACCAAGTTTCGAGTCAAAAGATAAATTTCTGCAGTACTGTATACTGGGTATATCTTCTTCTTTCTCTGCCCTCAGGGAGAAGGAACTACTGGCACAAGCAGCTCCGCGGACTTCACAGTACATCTGTTCAAAACTGGAGACTGGGTTCTGGCAAAATCCCGGAAGGAGTCCAAGCTGCAACCCAAATGGAAAGGCCCACTACTGGTGTTACTGATGACCAAAACAGCTGTCTGGACAAACGAAAAAGGGTGGACACATTACACAAAGGTGAAGAGACCAGTGCCACCGCCAAAAGAGCGGACAGTGGATCCTGGTGACGGAAGCTTGAAGCTTAAGCTCCGAAAGACCGAGCACGGGAGGGTTGGTTAGGCCCTTTTTAAGTGTTAAAAAAAGAAAAAGGTGGATTGTGAGAAATGGAATGTTACTGTTGCTAAGTGTTAAGGTGAAATATAGGAATAGGACAAGATCATTGAAGTCTCTTAAGGCCAAAGGGCCTCAGAATAGAATCATGTAAATAGCTGTATTAAGGGAAATAGTGCTTCTTACATCAAAGTCCTGAAAAATGCCAGAGGGGGTAAAATTGGGGGACAGTGGTAAAACTGTCACCTTCAGTAGAAGAGAGCAGGAAATTGATTCCCTTTTTATAACTGGCGGTAAAGAGCCTGGAGAAAGGTCTGTTCTTTCTAGCTCATCCTCCCACAAGATTTAAGAAGCAAGTTGGCGTCAAGTAGGAATTTGCATGGCCACTCTGACTTGTTGAACTTTAGCAGATAGTACGCATGCTTAATAGGTGCATGAATATTAACTGACACAACTCTCATAGGTAATGGGCTCATTAGTATGAACATGGGATGTATGTGTGGGAGGGGCAGCATGTCAAGGGGTCCTATGATGTAGGCGGATGGAGAAGACTGCACCTTCTGAGTAGCCCAGCCAATGGGGGAAAAGAGGAAGGGTCTGTGAGCCGGGAAAAGGAGAAAAAAGACAATGTTTTGTGTGTAAATGACATGCTACCTGAGTGGTGGGCGCCCGCTCTTGCAAGAACGAATTAAACTGTACTACTTGGTACTTTGTCTCCGTATTGTCACTGCTTGGATTTTATTCCTTACACCATGACACGGCCTGCACTGCCCCCCGGCACTCTGTGACACGGCCTGCACTGCCCCCC